GTTACACTCAGCAATTTGGGTGACAGGAAAGGCACCTATCCAGTGGAATGATTTGAGTAGTTGAAACATAACATAGTCAGAAGCTTTGCAAAGGAATTATTATGTTTAATCTTGCATATTTTTATATATTACCAGCCTAAAATGAGGAACCTGGCATTTTTGACTCTGATAAACAAGTCTGTCGCAGAGATGATGGCCCAAGACAGGCCTGTTGAAATAGGACATCTTGCGGTCTAAAGGTCCATGCTTTACTTGCGGTGGGCCGTTGTGGGTTATGAAGGAAAGTCTGTCTTGAGAAGTTATTATTGGTAAGCGCAATGGGGGGGGGGGGGGAGAGAAAATCCCGTTTAGTGGCAGGACTTGTTTTCCGGGGAAGAAAACTTACGGCGCAATGAGAGGGGCGTGCAGATGCGAGCTCCACAACTGACCCTAAAAGCCACCCAAGCCACGAGACACGCGTTATAGAAGGGGCCACAACGCCAAGAGGCCACCTCGGGCCTCAAAAAGGTCGCGCCGAACCCCGCAACAAGTATCTGCATTCCCCCAAAGGGCGCGGGTGGCCGTAGGGCTCCGTAGGAAACCTGCAAACTGGCCCAGGCTTCTTTGCAAAAGTCCCGGCGAGCTTAAAGAGCCCCAGACCGCAAGGGAGCTTGGGGGACTCTTCCCGAGTTGCAACGCGCTCCCAGAGTAGGCGCCGCCGGCTCGCCAGTCGCTGCCTTCCCTTCCCACCCACCCACGTACATACCCGCCATGTGCCCAGCCCGAAGATGGGCATTTTCGCCTTGGTGCTCAGCGCCACATACGCTGCCATGCTGCTCCGGCCGGACTCCGTGGGAGCAACCTCGGCCCGCCCGCCCGGCTCCTCCCCGGATAGGCGCCTCGCTGGTTGGTTGCAGGCGAAGGAAAAGTCAGCCGGGGTTGACAAGCGGGCGGGAGAGGCTGAGCGCGCGGGCCAAGCGCCAAGCCTGGCGGGGCTAGGGAGTCCAGTGCTCCCTCTAAGCTGTGGAGTCCGGTGAGCAAAAATTCTACTTGGTGAGCTGCTGGCATTAAAGCTGCGAGCGAGCGACTTGGCCGCTGCATAAATCAGTTTGCTCCCGAGCCGTCCTTCCTGAGCGAAGACAAAAATGTGGGAGCCGGAGGCTAAAAAAAACTGTGAGCTGGCTCACACTAACTCAGCTTAGAGGGAACACTGCTAGGGACTTGTCCACACGACCGTGTTTCCCGCAGCTCGTGGCTTGGGATTGCAAAAATGGAAGTTGGCCGAAGCGACAGAGAAGCGCCGGAGAACAAAGGTTGAGTCCAGGGGCACCTTTAAGACCAACGAAGTGTTAAGTTTTCCTGTGTACTCTGCCCGCTTCTCCAGATGGGTGTTAACTGCGCAAAAGTGGATCCGCGGGTTCATAAAGGGGCTTCTCTCCCGCTTCCCCGAATGAGCTCAGTGGCTATCACAAGTTTTTATTTGCGGCACTGCACATCATATCTGAGAATATTATGCATTCGATCAGATCACTATACGTTGTGGGGCATAACTGCAAGTAAATACAGATGGGTGGATGGATGAGTTCTGATGGATCAGCACAAGACAACCAAACCACAAAAGCACTGAAGCTCTGTCAAGTAGGATCCTCTTACCATACTTTACTTTTCACTGCACAGTGCCCTTTTACTATCTGTACTGTGTTTATTTTGTTAATAAAATTTAACAATTAAAAAGAGGGTCCTACTTGCAATAAGCTAGACAAAGCAGCATAGACCACAGTGCCTACTCATACCATCCATGTAAGTTTGAGAACTATTCTGTACCACACAACCCTATTACCTAGGGTCGCCAACAATGCTCCCTTTGGAGTCTTGTGAGCAAAAATACTACTTTGTGAACCATTCGAGCAAGCGATTTGGCTGCTGCATAAATGAGTTTGCTCTGGAGCCATCCTTCCTAAGACAAAAATGTGTGAGGCAGAGGCTAAAAAACTGTGAGCTAGCTCACACTAACTCCACTATCTCAGCTTAGAGGGAACAGCGGCCACCAACCTCCAGGAAACACCTGGACACTTCCCACTTACAGTTGACCCCCAGACTGCGGAGGTCAGTTCCCTTTGTTGTAGATGGCTGCTTTGGAGGGTGGGCTCTGTGGCATTGTACCCCGATGAGGTTCCTCCTCCAAACCCCGCCCTCCCCAGGCTCCACCCCCCCAATCCTCCAGGTATTTCCCATTCCAAAGCTGGCAACCCTTCTATAACCAGTGCAGAGAAGCCCTCTTGAATAGTTAGGGTTGCCAGGTCCTGCCTGGCTGTTGGCAAAGGGGATCCAGCCTCTGCTCTGGGACATTCTGGCACACGTGTTTCATGTCAGGGATGTGGGGGGCGGGGCTATTTTTGTACAGGAACGCACAGGAACGGAGTTCCGGCTGGCTCCTGAGTTGGCCACGCCCAGCAGGAACTCATTAGCATAATAGGCCACACCCAACAACAGAAACTCATTACGATTGGCTACATTAGGGGTGTGTGGCCTAACATGCAAAAAAGGAGTCCCTGCTACAAAAAAAGCCCAGGGTTTTGACAGCAAACAAGGTAAACAGAATAAGAAGCTAAAGGTTGGTGTGGCTGGATGACCACACTTCTGGTAACATGTGGGTGCAGCCTAATAGGCTAATGAGTGGTGCTGTCATGGGTGTGGCCTAATATGCTAATGAGTTTCTGCTATTGGGTGTGGCCTATTATGCTAATGAGTTCCTGCTGGGCTTTTTCTACAAAAAAGCCCTGGGGGGGTGACGCCCTAGTTTTTTGGCAAAGGGTCTTTTTGTGAGTGGGTGGGGGCCCTGGCGCTGATTTCCACAGCCCCGGGCACTGTGGCCCCCACCGCATTTGCAAAACACTTTTTAAAGGGTCTTTTCCCGAACTGAGTGTGTGGCCCACGACCACCCCTCTCCCTCCCTCCTGTTAGACTTAAAGAGCCCTCCAGCTGGTCGGCGGGCCACGTGGTCCCCGCTGATCAGCTGAAGCCCTTTAAATTGGGCAGGAGGGGAGGGAGAAGGGTGGCCAGGCAGGTGGTTGCTCTTGGGGGTGGGGTTTGGGGGCATCCCCATCCACCCCCGGAATGCCCCCCAAATCCCCCCACCAGAGCAATGAGGGGAACTGGCAAGCCTTTTATAGCCTGAACTGACACTTAAGACTTCTGAGTAAATTTCCACCTGCAGAGTCCCACAGATTCCAAGGGGTCCTTTGCATAAACCAGCATCCTTGGTGTCTGTTACAGTCTCCTGGAGTTGTTCACCCAGGTGGTCTTAGCTGACTACCCTAGATAAGAACAAATTTTGCGTCCAGCGGCACCTTTAAGACCAATAAGAGTTTATTCAAGGTGTGAGCTTTTGTGTGCACGCACACTTCCTCAGACACACTGAAATGGAAGGTAACAGTTCATATATCATCTTTTAATCATCATAGACCTTTATTGGCATGGCATGGTGTTACACAAAGATAAAAATAAGATAAAACTGAGAGGTTTATACCACAATAGCAGAGGGAGAAAAGGTCACAAACAGTCAATTCAGAATAACATATCCCAAAATGAAACTAATAATTAAAAACTGTTAAAATGCTTGCCCTTCGCTTCCATACAAGTGAAAGGAACTCAGCTACAGATGACGTGACTTAGGGGGATTTATCAGAAAGCAAGAAGTTAAACTCATTATTAGCAATCTTTGCAGAAGACAAAAGAGGGCAAATCAAGTGATGACGGAGGTAGGAATACTGGGGGCAACGAAGGAGGATATGTTGCACAGAATCAGGTTCATTAAAGGAGCAGGTGCAAACTCTGTCCTTATAAGGGGTACCCTTGTATCTACCTGTCAAAACGGCCGAAGGAAATAAGTTGAACCTAGCCAACAGAAAGGCTCTGCGATGAAGAGGGATTGTCAAATTAGAAAAATACTGAGCCATTGAATCTTATCTTGTATAAAGGGGGGAGGAGGAAACGAGGGGATCACACTCCAAAGCTGCCTGCATTGATTAACTGGGCTTCAGTGTCTCAGATCCTCCCTTGTACAATCCGAAAGATGTCCATTTCTCCAGAATTAGCCAGAGAGTCCAGATCGATACCAATTGATTTAATTTTGAACATTACAGAATGCTGGGACCACTTTATAATGGACAAGATTGCTGATACTTCCGAAGGGTGCCATTGTAGAGATGCAGGTTCTCATTCCAAATTTGTGTGAACATGGTATCCTCTGATACAATTGGGTCATTTCCTGCAGGAGCGCACAGGAGCGGAGCTCCAGGAGTAAAGAGCCCGGGGGTGGGCACATGCTACAAGCCCCACTCCCTGCTCCCAGCAGCCCTCAGTCAGAGCAAGAAGCAGCCAGGTAAGCTGCAGAGCCCCCCCCCCAGCCCAAAACAGTCCAGTGGCACCTTTAAGACCAAGTTTTATTCAGGTACAAGCTCTCCCTCCTCTGTGAGGACAGATCTGCACATTCCTCCCGCCCCCACCAATAGCTAGCAATCCAAAACAGTCCAGTGGAGCCTGAGCAGTGGGTGTTGCCTTCTGACATAGTTCCGGTGATGTAAGGGGGTGTGGCATATGCAAATAAGCTCTTTTTCTATGAAATTACCCCTGGATACAATATAAGTTGGAGAATGATCTTCTACCTTCCAACCCAATTTATATCAAATGGCTTTGTTTCTAATTCATATTCCCTTAGTCCGAGCACTCACTACAATTATACCGATTATTAGCAATAGACAAATATGGCTGTATGGTTATATCAGTTTATTAATTCTGAGTTATACTAATTTTGATTGACGTTTTAATGTATTTTTACTCTGACAAAGGTCTGATTTTACTGTTTGTACTGTTCAAATTTTCATAAATAAACTTGGGGGGTGGGGAGAAAGAAATTTGCTTGGAAAAGTTCCAGAATTCAAACAAACAAAATAAACGAACACACTGAAATGTTGTAGTAAGTATATAACTTCCAGGATTGTATAATAAAGATAATTGTGTGTGTGTGTGTGATAAAATAGGTGACAGATGTGTAAAAGTATCCTAAGAGTAATAAACTGCACACCTAGATCTACCCTAGATAAGCTTATCTCAACGTTACACAAGCGTGTTCTCTAGACTGCTGCTTTTGTCAGCAGAGGCCCACTTGCACCTTGCAAAGCATGGCACTGGCTGTGCTAAGCTGCATTTTTGTTCTTCCCATGTTCTCTTTAGTGATAGCCCCTGGGCAATTTAAATTTGTAAGAGTTTAAATGAAAAGTATATGGGGGGAAGAAGATTGATTAAATACTCCCCTCCACACACACAAACACAAAGCAGACATTATTCTTCAGAAAACTGCTGGTAACATTAACATTTTGGAAATCCCTAGACTACGGGTGTGAAGACAACAATGAATTTAGTAATCCACGTGGAAAGGATATTCCTTGTGTTCGGCACACCTGCAAAAGAAGAATGCAGAGGTTTTTTTTAGTTTTTCTAAAAGTTGTTGAGGGAAATTTGTGGCACGGCGGGTTACCCCAGTTGGCTGAATCTGGAAATAAACAACACCCCTTTGAAGTTACACAAACAGAATTTATTTTTTTAAAAGACCAGTTTTATATTCATACTAGGAAAAAGGCCCGTTGCGGAAATAATTACAACGGCCTCTAGAAAGAGGCTCTGGGCGGGTGCCCCGGCCTTGAACACTCAGTGTCCATTTGCTGTGGCGACCTCAGCAGGGTATAATGACACTGAGTCCACCATTTTCTCCAGAGGAACTGATCTCTGCTACAGTTGTAATTTTGAGTGATCTCCAGCCCTCACCTGGAGATTGGCAATGATGGTTCCCCAGAAGGGACTAGTTGGTTTGGACGGTGGAGTCTATGGCTTTGTACCTGTCCAAGGTCCCACGCCTCCTGAAACCTCACCCTCTCCAGGCTCCATCCCTCACATCTCCAGGAATTTCCCACCTGGAGTTGGCAACCCTATCTCCTTCCCAGCCAATCATCAACCTACCTTTATTTCCCCCTCACTCTTCAGCTTTCCACCCCACACACACCTGCAGCCTCTCCCGTGCTCTGAAGCCCTGACTGCCACCTCACATTGGCTTTACTTGCTGTTGAACCTGACAGGTATTTGGGCAAAACTCTATGGTAAAACTGGCTTCTACCATAGAGGTTTTTCCCAAATACCAAAGCACCACCTGGATGTTGCTGGTGTGATGACGTCACTTCCTATGCTAGGCCAGCAATGTCGCCTGGGCCTTCCCTTTTCTACTGCTAATTCACTCTGCCAGCTAGCAGGGCCTGGCAGCAGGGGACCCCTGCCTCCACTGGGGAGTCTGGCAACCCTAGGCAGGAGAGAGGGGACGTGTGGCGCTAGAGGGCTCCTGGGAGGGGATTGCCCACCTTAGATGAACCCCCATGAGGTCCCCTCATACATGTGACACATGCATATATAACAACCATCTTTTAATTCAAACTGGAATTCTCAGAATGCCAAATCAAATATTTGATTACACGTAAAGAGAGTACATCCAACCTATGAACAGGCTGACTATGACTAAAAAGCAGTTCTATGTACTGTTGATGTGCTTGAACGTATGACACAATATCGCCTGACACAGAGTTCATACCACTGGAATATCATGGTCAGTATTGTCTACTCGGACTGGCAGCAGCTCTCCAGGGCCACAAGCAGAGGTCTTTCACATCCCATGTGACTTGATCCTTTTAATTGGGAGATGCTGGGGACTGAACCTTGGCGCTTCTGAATACAAAGCAGGTGCTGTAGCACTGAGCCACAACACCTCGATTCCTTATCCTGCAGAGCATGGAGAGTGACTTACGGGGGCATTGAATAGACTCTTGTGTTTTTGTTCAAAGACAACAGTGTTTTCATATCTTCATCAGACAGTTTGAAGTCGAACACCTGGAAAAAACAAAGAACATATAACCTGTTTAATATATGTGACTACAGTACAGGATCCAGGCAAAGACAGATATTTTAAATCTTTTTCATTTCAATGGAAGACTGATGCATGTCTTTAATAGGGATGGGCATGAACCAGGAAAATGCACTTCAGTTCGTGGTTCATGGTGTGCTCGGTTCACAAGCCACGACCTATCATGAACTTTTAGGTGCCAAACAAACTGGTTCAGTTTGTGAAGTTTGTGGCATGGTCAAAATTCTACAAATGGTTGGAAGACTACAATAAATAAACAATATGGTCATATAACCGTATTAGAAGAAAGTACGAACTATATTTTTAAATACAGTGCAAATATTTACACAAAATATATGGTGATAAAAATGGACGCAATACAAATAGACAATGTATGAGGTAACATATTAGCCATAACAAAGATGTAACGGAATCCCCCAACTTGTATGTATTTACGTTTGTTTTTGTCAGAGTTACAGCCCTCCAAAGAAGGTGTCCCCAGGAATGTGCTTTCTGGCAGAATGACATGTGCAGGAATGTATAGGTATTTTTCAGGTATTTATTCAGCCAAATACAGGCTGGAAAATCTGATTTGGCTACCAAAATAGCTGTGCCCAATTAAAAGTCGGTATCATTTGGCTTTTATTCCTTTTGAATTAGCTCACTAAGTCGTGCCGCCACCATGGCAGCAGCACAACTCGGCAAGTGAACTCAGAAGGCATTTAAAGAGACAGCGGTCTCTTTAAATGCCTTCTCCACACCACACCCAAATAGAAGCTGAATAGTATCAGATTTTATTCAGGCTCAGCTATAGTAGTAACCAGAAAGAAACTCTAATATCCTTTCTGCTTAAAAAACCCAAAAAAAACCCTATAAGGCATTTTTCTGGGGCGTTTTTTGTTGTTCGGGTAAACCAAATGCACACCCCTAATAACAACTTCCTGTTTCCATGTAAGGAAACCTTATGGTCCACTCTTATCCCAGTTCCAGATATCCCTTTGACTGCCAGTTTAAATGCCTGTTACGGGTCAGCTCCTACCATCCCAGTGCCTCAACTCTCCTGATTTACTTAGCACCTACTTTATTACTGCTGGTAAGTCCACTTCCACAGGCTTCATTTGAACTTTGTGTGCAATATGGGATGCAGGCTCCTTGATTTTAGATAGAGCAAAATGGAAGGTGACTTAATTGAGGTTGGGGGCACCTTCTTGGGAGCCCATAGAATTGAACCCCCTGGTCCAATCTTTTTAAAAATGGGGGGGGGGAGTTGCCCAAATACCAAAGCTGAAAATTTGGTGCCTCTACCTCATAAAACAGTCTCCCAGAGCCCTAAATACCCCTGGATTGATTCTCCATTATACCCTGTAGGGACTGTCCTCATAGGATATAATGGAGCTGAATAAATTCCCGTTTCCCGAATATTTACCAAAATCCCAATACAATATTGATACTGGTCTTTGGGAATATTTGGGAATACTGATATTTTTCGAGTCCAATAGAGCAGAGACTGTCTGGAAATGTGTCCATTCATGAACTACCACAAACCACTTGAACGGACAGTCTGTCTGGAAATGTGTCCATCCATGAACTACCACAAACCACTTGAAAGTTTTGTGGAAAGTTCGTGCCGGTTGATCTGCCTCAACTTAAGTTTGTGAACCATGAACCAGCCAAAATTCAACATGAACTTTAATTTGTAAGCCAGTTCGTGCCCATCCCCAAACTTGCTGAATTAGGACTGGGCTGTGCCCGTAGTTCTAATGAGATGCATATAGTACAATGAGTGTCCAAAATTGTCAGGATTCAAATCAAAATGGCAGTGCCTGGGAATTTCAGATGAATTTTGTGAATTCACAAGCCCACAAAAAAGTATATTCTTCCTGCCACACACATTTTTTGAACATCGACAAGCCAGGCTTTGACAAGTTTTCTTTAGACTAAGGGGTGTCGTGGACTTCAATATCAATCATGTATATTGCTTAGGACATATAGCATTAAGTATGTCTGAAAATTTGCTTTTCACTTTCTGTGCAAAATAGTAAGCATGCATGTTTCTCGGCCTTGGACAGACAACTCTCATACCAGTAGATCTGTTGTTTCTTGTTTGAGACTATTTTTAATGTAAAACTCGGGTTAATAGTTGGATTTATGTCCAGAAGGATCTCAGGAAGGACAGAACAAAGCTACATGAATTCATCTGAGAAAACATCACAGTATGTTCAGAAGTACATCACACTGTGCCTTTAGAAAGTACAAATTAGAGAAGGTTTAATAAAGTTATGCATTGGCCCACATAATTGTGTCTATAAAGGTTAGCCACACCCTATAACCCTTGAATTTCTCATATATAGTATTCTGTGAATTCCTATCTTTTCTACAAAGACTGGTAAGAATCCTTGAGTTTAAAATGAATTATAATTTCTGTTTAGGTAGAACACGAAATGACATGTACGCTTATTTATTTTTAATCTCATTCACCTATGCTAATATTTTCTGTACATTTGTGATCCTTGCTTACTTAGCCATATCAAGAATAATTAGATTGATTTGAAGTGATTTTTTTAGTTGGAACACTGAATTATTTTCAGGTGGGGGTATCAAACTTTCATCCAGAACCTGGAATAAATGAATAAACTTCTGAACTCCTTGGTCAGAAGACTGGGACCTGTTAAAAGGATCCATCATTTGAGAGAATGATCGTATCTTTCATTGTGAATAAGTGGTAGTGTGCTGCCTCAGGACAGTCAAAGAGACATTTAGTTTCTGTGTGGCTGCCTTGAAGTAACTATTAACTATCACAAAACCAGAGCAAACATTTAGAGGCCAGATTTATTTTTTAGACTTTGTATTTTAAACGACCACTTTTAAAAATTACTGCTACCACAAAACCTAATCTTAACCACTTTTACAGTTCCTCATTATCTTATTAATACCATGGCAAAATTATTGCAGCACATAAATAGGGAGTGATTTCATTGTTTTTTATAAAGCACTTAAAGCTTTTTTTAAAGCACTTAATTGGATATTGAATACATTCGAGAATGGATCGTGTGAATTAAAGTTTATATATAAAACACAATGACAAGAACTTCATGAACATTGTTTGTGCAGTGTTTTTTTATTGAGCCCCAGTGGTCCTTGTGTGAGAAAAAGCAAACTCCTTCTCCACAGTGCCTGGAGACAAGCATGTGTGGAGCGAAGGTATAGGATCCAAGCCTTAGTCTTTAAGTTGTCACATGATTCCCCTTCACTTGATCCCCAAATTATTATTTGATTTAACATTTGGTGAGAGGGGTGTGGATTTATAGGTACGTAGAAAACATCTTCCCCCTTTGTCTGCCTACTTTAAATTCTTCTATGAATTTTCCCAAGTCAAATATTGCTGCTCACCTGGAGATTCTCCTTGAGGCGGTGTGGTTTGTCTGTCTTTGGAATCACAGGCACATTTCTCTCAATGTGAAATCGGAGCAGAACCTGCGTAGTCACAGATTAAAAAGGAATCTGTCTCGAAACATACATGTTACAAATGGGTTCAGTTATTCTCTGCAGATAAATAATTAAAATGGGAGACTTGTTTAAATGTTACAGGAAAACAAGGAATGAGACACAGAGGAGATAAATTCCCTGGACATGAGGGGAACAAGGTCAGTTTTGTGAGGTCCATTTGGCTGATATCTGAAGGAAGGAACTCTTACAGCTGAGCTCAATCCTAATTGCCATCACTGCCATGTGAAGATAACTAAAGGCCAGCAGAGTGGACAAAGATTCCCAGGTAATGGGAATATTTTAGAATGCTGTAACTTCTACCTAAGAATAAGACCAGCTGGAGCACGTATAGAACTGAAGGACAGAGGACTATATGTTTGCACCTTTTCTTTGTATTCCTTGCTTGATCCATTGCTGTGTAGAGCATGTGTGTGGAATTTCCTTTTTCAATAAATCCTTTGTATTTTAAATGCTTATAGTTGTTCTTTGTACCACACAGACGTCCATTGTTCACACACACACGCACACGCACACTATCTAAAATGAGTGCTGGAGAAGGGAGGTGGTTGGTTGCTAGATCGCTGTTGCTAGATTGAGTGCATAAGCATGGTAAACTGTCCCTGTGGTAAGCAGTCGTTGGGTAACAGGAAATGCAGGCCCTACGTGAAGCCTTTAAACAGGAACACAGAAGAGAGGCTGGGAGTGATGGCCCTCTTGGCAGGAAATCCTGAGATTGACAAGCTGGTGGCAATGTACTGAAGGAGAAGCGTGAGAAATTCCCTCCAAGAGTTTGGCAGACTTAGGACAGTGGTGCCAAGTACAGACTCAGGACAACCACTTTGGAAGGGGCTCACAGGTCAGCGGGGCCATTCTGCATCAAGTTCCAGGACAGAATAGGACACATAACTATATTGTGCCCGTTTCCCACCCCACTATTTCTCATAAGGAAAATGTCATGGGAGGGTAAAATAGTTTCCCACCCCCTTCCCTGATCTGTGTTGCACTCATGAAGCTGGCTTATACTGAAGCATCCGAAGGTTGACATTCAAGTCTTAGAAAATAACTGCCCTAAAAATGTTCAAACTCTACTTATCAAGGGAGCCCATTTTAAAAGTTTTTAATGTGTTAATGTATATATTCCTCCAAGGGGCTCACTAGAGCAGGAAAGAGGGCACATCTGGAATTTCTTAACAGATACGCTAGACTTGTTAATGTCCCAATTTCCTAAGGCTCATGTTCTTTTATGTGGAGACTTTATACTGAATCAGACCCTCGGTCCATCAAGTTCAGTATTGTCTACTCAGACTGGCAGTGGCTCTCCAGGGTCTCAGGCAGAGGTCTTTCACATCACCTCCTGCCTGGTCCTTCTAACGGGAGATGCTGGGGACTGAACCTGGGACCTTCCGCATGACAAGCAGGTGCTCTACCATTGAGCTATTCCCTGTGCCTGCTTTTTGCAGCTCCATTACACTGCTGGGGACCTGAATCCAGATCTCCAGGGTAATATGAGGTTTTGCGCTTAAGGCAGAGAAAATGGGTGGTGGGATAGTGCCTTGCTTCGGTATTTCTTTGTGCCTTACATAGGAGGTTCTAAGCAAAGACCTCTGTTCAGATAGGTTTCAGTTACCTGAGCAGGTGTTTTGTCGTACTTGTCTGCAATCTTCTTTACGGTGGGGTCCTCAAGCAGAGACGTATACCTTGTCTTCCCAAGGGTGCTCCTATAAGCAGGAAGGAAAACAAACTCTTGGGATATCAAGTGGTTTGGTGCCTTTTCTGATGGTTTGTGAGAAAACAGAATTGTGGATGAGGCTGTGGATTTTAAGAAGCTGCTACATTCCCAATGGTACTACATTCCTAGGCAGGTGTCTACAAACAGCCTGGTTAGTACTTGGAGGGGAGACCACCAGGGAAGTCCGAGGCTGCTGCACAGAGACAGGCAATGGCAAGCCACCTCTGAATGTCTCTTGCCTTGAAATCCCTACTGGGTCACTGTAAGCCAGCTGTGGCTTTGACAGTACATTCCACCACAAAACCTCGTTAAGTCAGTTGAACTTAGGTTGGCCATGACTTATTCGTTCCATTGATTTCAACAGGACTTGGGGCTGGATCCTGTTAATCTGCTAGCGCAGAGCTGGTGGATGCAAGCCACCTCTGAATGTCTCTTGCCTTGGAAACCCTACTGAGTCACTGTAAGCCAGCTGTGGCTTTGACAATACATTCCACCACAAAACCTCATTAAGTCAGGCTGGCCATGACCTATTCATTCCATTGATTTCAACAGGACTTGGGGCTGGATCCTGTTAATCTGCTAGCGCAGAGCTGGTGGATCGGGCCCAGGGCTCTTTTTGTAGCAGGTACTCATTTGCATATTAAGCGACGCACCACTAATGTAGCCAATCCTCCAAGAGCCTACAGTAGCTCCTGTAAGAAGAGCTCTGTAAGCAATTGGAGGATTGGCTACATTAGGGGGTGTGACCTAATATGCAAAGGAGTTCCTGCTACAAAAAGAGCCCGAGTCTCTCTCACTGGAGTGAGGCTCCTCATTTCAGATGCCACAACATGGATTCTTAGGACCCTGTTCAACCCAATGATTACACTGGTTTATTACTGGACTGTATTCAGCCACGCTATCTATAGGCGCCAACCACCACCCCCAATAATGAAAAACAAACATAAATGCAGTAACACTCATGAAGCTGCCTTATACTGAATTAGACCCATCAGTCCATCAAAGTCAGTGTTTACTCAGGCCGGCAGCAGCTCTCCAGGGTCTCAGGCAGAGGACTTTCACCTCACCTACTACCTTTTTAAACTGCAGATGCCAGGGATTGAACCTGGGACCTTCTGCATGCCAAGCAGACGCTCTATTTATTTATTTATTTTATTTTCATTACATTTATACCCCGCCCTTCCCGCAAGCGGGCTACCACTAAGCCACGAACCCTCCTGCAACAATACATTTTTAAAAATCACCCCTTTGAGGGTCAACTTCCTCTGGACAGGGCCCATGGACTTGAAGAGCAGTAAAGCTAGAAAACTCTCTTACACTGGGTTACCAGGTGAGCCGAAGGGGCTGTGGGCGCACACGGTGATCCCTTTGGAAAGGCAGAAATTAATCAGAGTTTCCTGGGTAAGGTACGGGTGACATTCAATCTACAAACACAAAAGAACAATATGTTTATCCTGCAGGGTGTTACTCAGAGGCTCAGAACAACCAGACCGGAGCAACTGGGGTGGTTTCTAATTTTTCTTCCTTGTCGCTTCTACCCCAAGACCTCGATTTTGCTTCTTTTCACAAACCGAATCTACTCCCTGTAAAAACATATACAATTTCCACTGCCAATAAACGAGCCCTGTAGTTTAATTGTGCGGTACCTGTATAACTACCGTGCAAATTGTGGGAGAAAAATTATACTGTATGCCTCAGTGATACAAACCAGGGGTCGTTTCGTAGAAAAAGAGCTAGGGGAACTCATTAGCATAACTCATTAGCATATGCCACACCCCCTGACATCACCGGAAGTGTGTCATAAGGCCACACACCCCGCCCACAACGGTCCCAGCCGCCACCACCGGCCTTGCAGCTCCACTGCCAAGCCCCATGAGGGGCCCGCCGATGGACCTGCAAGGCCGGCGGGAGTGCAAGGAAGCCCCGCGAAGGCCCTCCCTGGCCCCAGGCAGGCAGGGGTGGGGAGAGGCAGGGAGGAAGCAATTTACCCTCCCTCTTCTCCTGCCTCCTCCTGGCTGAATGAGGGCCGGAAGCGGGGCGGCCGGAAGCAGGGGGTGGAGCTTCGTCATCTGCCCCGCCCCCATACCTCACCCGGGGGAACTGCGATCCCCGCGATCCCCCCCGAAATGACCTCTGATACAAACTGACCTACGGAAGGGACACCGACAACGGGAGAACGGAAGCTGCTTTTGATGCAATCAAATATACAAGGAAGCCCAATGGCGGGACAAGATGGAATGGGCCTGGCCTCTGGGATGCCAGGTTTACCAAACAGCCTTTGGAATTCAAGGGAGAAGACCTGGCTACGGAGACATCAGGGGACCATCGGACCAGTCACAATCTCTCCAAAAGTAAAAATAGTTGGTTTAGAAGGTGACTGGCCTTAAGGGCGTGGTAACATAAGAGGTGCTGCCTTAAACAGAAGCCTCCCCCAGCAGAGGGTGTGGCCAGCAGCTATTCAAATTCACCCAGGCACTCAATTACAGTCAAACAATGACCCTTTCTCACCCTATCTCAAGCAGCCAGGACTCTGCAACAACTCACAACTCTCCCACACATTCCCAAACACAGTCCTCCCAGACAGTACCCTCAGCTAAATCATCTCAGCTGAAAGCAATTAAAAAAACACTCACCCCTCTAGCAGCTCTATCTCCTGCTGCTTCTCAGAGCTCAGCTGGGAGAGCATATCTACACTACAGATTTAAAATGGTTTAACTGTTACGTCTTCTCACCAGGGAAATCCTGGGATCTCTGGCCTGGGGATGCAGCATCTCCTACGATGGACAGCTTTTCTGGCTGCAGAGAAGGGGAGGGACATTTTTCTGATTCCCCCTCCTGGCACAGACTCCCATTTTGCTTCTCACACTGTTGCTTTAGGTCCACTGACCCTATGGTTGCCAGGCTGAGCTGGCAACCAATGGGAAGATTAGGGAGCGGGGACACAGGGGGCATGTGACATCGGTGTCATTACCATATCACTTCCGGGTACAACCTGGACGTAGCAATGGGTAGCTCTAGGAATCACTGGAAACTCTACAGTAGAACTCTATGGTTTTACCACAGAGTTTCCAGCGATTTCTAGAGCCACCCATTGTCACTTCTGGGTTGTACCTGGAAGTGAAGTACTGGTGCAGAGGCCTGCAGCATTTTTAAATTTATTTTTCTCATGCTTGGAGCAACTGTGGGCAACACAGGTCGGTGGGAGGCCTCCTGCTAACCCTGACTGACCTGCAGGAGTACAGTTTGGGGGAGCATATAAGGTTGCATTGAGAGGGAGGAGGTGAGGCATTTGCCTTCCGCTAGAACAACTCCACTTGCACTGCTCAGGAAAGATCCTAAGCAGAATTTCAGCATCTTCATCAAACAACAGATGTTCCCAGGATATTTTAAAAGAGCACTGACAGTTGATCTGGTATAATAAAATGTATATATGTTTATAGAGTAGATATGCCTTCATTTTCACTCTCTTGGATTTCTCAATCGAATGAATTAGTACCTAAATTGTAATCCCTCAATATCCCCTTCCAATTCCCACCCTCTACAAATCAGACCTTGTTGGAGAGTCCGTGTTCTCTGGTGAAGTTATAGAACCAACAAAACTCATACCTCACCTGGTTATTTGCAGGGATGTACCTTAAACCAGGTTTGCTCAAGATTCTTTCTATCTGCTCACAGTTAAAGTTCGAGATCCCAACTGCTTTTGCCAGGCCGGCATCCACCAGGTCTTCCATTCCCTAAAATTACAAGGGAGACTACATTCATAAACAGGCAATACTTGGAGGCACGTTGCTCCCTTTTTATTCCAACACGAAACAGACTAAAGAACTCAGGTGGATGGTTGTTTTGTTTGTCAGCTTGTATGTGTGTTTGTGAGGAACCAAAGAAACAAAACTGGATGGAAGCCTCATCTAATTCGACTGATGGGCCACAGGCAGGTAAGTGTGACGCAGGTGTGTGGCTGATTGGATGGAATATTACATGATGCAGCCAGGTAGCCATTGGATTTACAGCATTCACATGTGACTCAGTCATGTGGCCTACAGAGGGATCATGTGGATAGCT